TGTAAACTTATTTTTTTCCTGTCTGATGTGTTCATTTCTCTCTTTTCAAATAGGAGTCCATTACTGCCCAAACATATTGATTTTATCAGCGAATAGCTAATTTTTCTGCACTGCATTAAATATTTCTATATATAGCCAGCCTGCCCCATCTTGTGGACTATAGAAGTAACTGGAAAAATATTACCTTTAAAGGCCATTCAGGAACAAATATGAAATGTTCAAGAAGAAAAGGGTAGAGGGAACTTTGAACTAAAAATGTAGAGATAAATTGGGAATGTAGTGAATCCTCTCTGAAATCGAATGGACAATGAGATACATATTGGAAGCACTTCTTGGTGTTATGAATGGCTAAACTGTCAAAACAATTCAGTGTGAATTACATCAGATATGAAGTCATTCTAAGCAAGAGCTTCATCTTATATTTGATACTGGTGGTCACTTTTACTGCTGAGGTCTTTTATTCCCTCCTGTTTAGAAAAAGAAAGAGCAGCTATTTCATAGAAAAGTAATATGGGGGATATTGATTTTGAAAGAGCACTCCGACCATTGTGAAGAACAGCAATATTCATAATCTGTTCCAGAACCATATTTTTGATTGATCTAAGAAAGTAGTGGAACTAAGTGCTCTAAACTCCTAATGTAAGCAACTTCTTTGGCGGAAATGGGTGCCCTGCTTTTCATTGGCCAGATCAACTTGGGAATACGACTTAAACCAGATTCTTATAAGAGAAGGGGGAAACAGTGGGGTTGGGCAGGACAGGCAGCAATTCTTCAGTAGCCTTTCTTGGACAGCTTTGCAACTGAGAACTCCTAGCTTTGATGGTATGAGGCGAGGGGTGTGTATGTGTGTGTATAAAAGAAAAAGAGCACACAGGCATGAATGAATGGTCACTGCATGTTGGAAAGTGTTTGGAGCCACACCTTCTCTGTCTGAGTTTGACTCATAACGCCTGTTTAAACACTGACACCCAATCAAAGAACACAAGACTTGAGAGAACAGCCATTTCTCTCCTCCTCCTCCTCCTCCTCCTCCTCCTGTATCAGTGAGCTTAGGGTTGACCATAGGGTCAACATTAAATCCTGATTCTCAGCTGTGGTCTGATTGTGTGCCTTGAGTTTCACAGGCACTGTTGGAGTCCTTTGGGGCTTCGTCTGCATTCTGTTGCCCACAAAAGGGTGGTAATCATGTTAACTTGGTTATGTGACTCTCCTTCCATTTACTTAGATGATTATTATGATTGATTATGTGCCATTAAGTTGTTTTCGACTCCTAGCGACCACACAGATAGATTTTCTCCATGACAATCTATCCCTAGCTTGGTTCTTCAGGTCTTCCCATGGTACCCCCATTGCTGCTGTAACTGAGTCCATCCACCTTGCTGCTGGTCATCCTCTTCTTCTTTGTCCTTCCACCTTTCCCAGCATTTTAGACTTCTCAGGGGAGCTGAGTCTTACCACTGACTATGTGCCATAAGTTGTTTTCGACTCCTAGTGACCACATAGATAGATTTTCTCCATGATGATCTGTCCCTAACCTGGTCTTTCAGGTCTTCCAACAGTCCCCCCGTTGCCATTGTAACTGAGTCCATCCCCCTTGCTGCTGGTGGTCCTCTTCTTCTCTTTTACCGAGATGGCTCCTTTGTCTTACTTTGTCAGGCATTGGAGGAGAGCCATGCTCGTCCATGAAGACAAAAAAAAATCAGGAGTCTAGTAGCACCTTTTCCGACTAACACATTTTATTTAAAGGTGCTACCAGGCTCCCCCCTACCAGACATGTGTCTATTAGTGTGCGTCTACCTGTTCAGCTTTCTTGCTGGGGTGGAGTGTTGACTATACAGTCATGTCTCCTTGTTTCCAGTTATTTGCATTTTATTACTGTTTGCTGTATGGAGGCATTCTTTGAGTCTCTTTAACTAGCAAGGGCGATTAATAATCTAATTAACCCAATGCCTGCTGTGCCCTTTGTCTCGCAAGCTGCATCATTTCTGAATACGGTAGTTAGGAGTCCTGCCTACTATAATTTTCTTCACTGGAGGCAGCCAGCAGCTAACCAGCTACTGTTAATTGCACTGGAGGGCTTCGCGAGAGGCCAGAAGAGAGAATTTCCCTTTCCTGTGTTCATTTGTTCAGGCAGGGAGGAAAGGAAGTGGAGGAAAAGTATGGTAGGGTTGAGACCTGCTCTTTTGTGTGTGTGTGTGTGTGTGTGTGTGTGTGT